TCATCATCATTACAGCCTTTCATAAGTCCACTGCTGAACATAGGCCTCCCCCAAGGAATGCCACAAATGTTATATCTCTATAACCATGCCAAATTACAGCTTTAGAACCCTGTAAGCATAGGAATGCTTCCTTTGAGTGAAAAATTTATATTTTGAATATTTTATGTACCTTTCCTCCATGTCTCGTTTGTTTTTTCCCCTGTATATAGTCTTTATCAACATTTTTTTAAGTGGTAGAGAAATGCTGCAGCTATATTAGTAGTATAGTTGTAGCACGAATGGATCGGCTCAACCGGGGAAGGGCCACGCTCTCACAGAATACCAGCGTAAAATAGCAGCTTAACGCTGCTGTGTTTCGTATGGTGAGTGTAGAGAACCGGAGACCCTTTTTACTGGAAATGAGATATTCCATCTTATTCCTCACGGGTGACAACGCATCTGCATTTTAATTTGTAATAGAAGATATATGTAGATGTTTATGAGCCGCAGCAACCACTTACCATCAGGTGGACTGTGTGCTCGCGGCAGCTTTTGCTGTCGCACGGATGGGCCGGCTCGAACCGGGGTGGTACCACGACCTCACAGAAAACCAGCGTGAAGTAGAGGTTTACCTCTGCGTTTCGCTTGGTGAGTGCAGGTGGCCGGAGGCCCTTTTTACTGGAAATGAGGCATTCCATCTTGGTCCTCACGGGTGACAACGCATCTACATTTTGATTTGTAATGGAGGATAGATGTAGAAGTCTATGGGCCGCAGCAACCACTTACAATCAGGTGGACTGTGTGCTCGTTTGTCACCCTATCCTATAAAAAAATGGAACAGAGATGCGAATAATGTGATTCATAGTGAGATCACACGAGATATTTTGTCATTTAATTCTAATCATCTTCATAAAGATCACATTTATTTTATAAAATGATTATTATTCAAATTGTATGTATTATAATTAATTATTGTATGTACTTATTAAATTGATCAACTTTCGCCAATAAACATGTGGTACAATCTAAATAAAATGATCATCGTTCCATAGAAAATATAGCGATCCTTTTAGTATGCCGCAATTTTTTTATACAACATACTTGCATATTGTAATTAAAGCCAAAAGATTTTGTTTCACCTGTATTATGACAACCATAGAATTGTTGACAGCAATATTTTACTCATTGTTAGTCATATTATTCAATGACATCTTTTAAAATTCTCGATATCCTGGGATTAACATTTCTAAAGGTAAGTTCGCGCACAATAACCCCTGGGAATGATGTGATCGCTACCAAGCTATCCCTAATTTGTTTTGTGTTGTTAATGATATAACATTTTATTGTTTTTCATTATGTCGTTAATTAAGTAAGCTGTTATTTTTTTAAACGTTCCGATAGGTTCTTTGCTGGTTCTTCCCAGGACGGAGGTTTTTTTTCCGAACTATTGATAATTACATAAAAGAGTGACTTTCAATAAGTATTATTTGTAATCTATATTGAATAAAAAAGCTTCTGTTTCTGCTACCCTGAACGTGGGTGCCCTGCAGTAGGCGGAGCTACGTACACCATTTTCCCCCTGCTCTACCTCCTCAATTACCTAAAGATCAGCTTCTATCGGATATATTTTAACACGTTCCCTATCCGCTGAGCCACATATGGTTCAAGAAACGTGCGCTTGAAAAGCGCTAATACGTTCCTGACCCATGTGTGCGTCAGGGCACATATACAATTCCTACAGTGAATATTTCTACTGGACGTGAAGGGACTGTACTGTTTCTACACTGGACGTGCAGGTACGATCATAAACTAAAGAAAAACGCCGGGACGTACGAAAAAATATTTTAATTTTTCTAAGAAATCACAAATTTTACTTATTATGAATTTTTTGGAAACAGCATAAACAAAACGATTTTTTGCATTGCAAACACTCAGTATCCACTCGTTTCACTCTTTTAGCAGCAATTTCCCAGTTTTTACCTTCTTTTCGCAAGTCTTCGTAGCGTCCATGGCATCGTTTTCGGACAATTTTATTGTTCTCTTTCCTCGGAATTTTAGACAGAAAGTGCTGAATTGTGATCGAGCTAGTAGATGGTCTTGGACTATTAGTCAATGAAATTGCACTTGCATCTGATGCATTGTTCAATTGCAAGAACTCCCTAATAATTTCTTGCTGCGTCTGTAGTATGGTTTTCCGTAATTTTCTATTAGTAGTTGAATGTAGTTTGTGATACATAAGCGTGGCGTTTGTTATTGAAGCACATATCAAAATATCTAAAGCGATCTTTTTGTACCATGCCAGAGACTTTCTTTTTGGGTCATAATAACTTGAAAGCTGGTCACATACATCTATACCTTTTTTTCGCTCATTGTAATAGAGCACGGCTTCCGGCTTCAAAATTGGCCGATATCCCGAAGACATTCGCATAGTAGCGTCATGGCATGTAGAAATCATTGTAACGTCGCGTTTGTCTCTCCATTTCATCACTGTTACATTGTCCTTCTGTCGAGCAACTACTTCACCTTTTTTAGGTCCTATTTTTTTCGATCTTATTGCCCATGGAAGTTCTTTTCTATTTACTCGCAAAAGTGCCGCATAAGTCTGTCTTATGCTGCAGCAAATATTTTGCTAATCCGACGGTATTGTAATAGTTGTCGCACACAATTATCCGTCCAGCTTCTAGAAGACCATCACATAACTGAACTACGACACTTCCCGGCTTATCCAAATCAGCGATCTCGGGGTCGCGACCTATGTAAATGTCATAGTTCCAGACAAAACCATCTTCTGTGCAAAGTTTATAGATTTTCAAGCCATATTTGTGAGCTTTTGATGGGTTGTACTGACGGAAAGATATCCTCCCTCTAAATGGCATCATCGACTCGTCAATGACGATACATTCGTTAGGTGTCAGTAAGTCCTTCCAGTTGTTGATAACAAGGTTCAAAAGTGGTTTTATTTTGTACAGACGTTCGTTTTGATCCCTCGGAGCTTCATTATCAACAAAGTGCCAGCAACGTAATATTGATGAGAAGCGATTATACGACATGTTTACATTGTGAAATATTGGATGGTAGTAAATAGAGTCTAATTTCCAACACGATTCAATCGTCGGAAATTTCACAATACCCATCAACATGTACAAGGCAATAAATTTCAACATTTCTTCGCGTGTAATGTCTGTCCACCGATTCATGCGACTATGAACTGATATGTTGACGTTCTGTTTCAGTTGAGAAGCGTACAGATTTGTTTGAGTAACCATAAGATCTAACACTTCGTCGGTCAATATACGTCGATAAATGGAAACAACAGATTGTTCACCTTGGATATGAATAGTTGGGCTGTTATTATAAGGTTGACGTGACAGTGGTAAGATGTCCTGACTCCAGCCATTTTCTCTATCTATATCATTTATTTCTTGCAGAGTAAGCCGCATGATCTCACCAGCAGTCCGCCTTCTGCTCGTTTCTGGCCGAGGTGAATTTATGACGGTATCAGATAAATTATCAGCTGGTGAATCACTACCAATGTCATCGGTTACAATGTTTGGGCGGGAAATCTCACCTGGTTCAAAATCCGGATCATCGATATCGTCATCTGCAAAAACTCGGTTCTTGATCCGAAATATCAGAATCTGGCTCGTCTTGTACATCGCTATCGCCGCCGTTCGAATCCGTGTCATCGTTACTCAATTCATAGTCACTTTCTTCCAGTATTCGTCGCAAGTCCTCAGTTGATAATCTTCGCGGCATTTTGAACAACAAAATCGCGTACAATATAACCTTGAAACAATTTCATGAACAGAATTCATAAATATGACAATGACATAACATAATTGACAACGTATCTATAATCTATGGAAAATATTCCACAGATAATTAAATGTGCACAAGTTCGTAAATATCGTGAAAATACATAAATAATAATAGTAAAATAATTAATAAAATAAATACTTATGAAAAACTCATAAATATAAAAAAATGTGGTTCATGAACCTGCAGGAGCAAAAATGTCTCTCTACGCTCATGAACCATATGTGTTTCAGGGAAATAAAGCCTACTTTTAGTTATTTTTTTTAAATGATATTATTACTAGGGCTACCCTATGACTATAAAAAAACAAATTATTCAAAAAACCCTATTGGACGTGCCGGTGAATTTTGCATTTTTGTATGGGACAGGAAACGTGTTAATTCCGACAAGAACACCAAAAATCACCATATTATTATTATCACCGTATTGCGTCACAAAGAAATTTTAATAAAGAATTTTGGAAATTTGTAACCAGACAGATATACCTTATATCTTGAAAACGAGATTGTACAACCAGTGCGTGTTGCCAGTGATGACTTATGGATCTGAGACGTAGTCCTTCACTGCTGGCCGTATGAGGAAGCTCAAGGTCGCTCAGCGAGTTATGGAGAGGGCTATGCTCGAGGTTTCTCTGTGTGATAAGACTTAAAAATTAAGATATTCACAGTAGAACCAGAGTAACCGATATAGCCCAAAGGATTAGTAAGCTGAAGTGGCAATGGGCGGGTCATATTGCTCGAAAAACCGACAACCGATGGGGGAGAAATTTCTCGATTGGCAGCCTCGTACCGGTAAACGAAGTGGAGGGCATCCACCCACTAGACGGAGTGACGAACTGGTAAGACATGCAGGAAGTCGAAGGATGCAGGTGGCTCAAGTTCGTGCTTTGTGGTATTATTTAGGAGCGGCCTTGGTTCAGCAGTGAACTTGTGAAGGGCTAATGATGAACCGGAAAACTATAAAAGGAAAACCTTTCCCTCCAATCTACTGTGCACTCCTCTATATTTTATAATAAGTCTTCCTCTCTTCTTGGAGTAAAACTTTGGAACTCCCTTATTTGTCTAACCAATATCTCCTCCTCCTTTTATTTATCACTCATCTCTCGCCTAACATCTGAAGTATATGCATAAATTGTTACTGTTTGTTGTTATAGTGCATCCTATCCGTTAATTTTTCTCTTTCTATTAATTAATTAATTTTTTTTTGTGTGGAAGAAATTGCTGTGTACTACTAAGATCGCCTTTTGTTTTCCCTCAATATTTGTATATTTTTTTATGTTAATCTTCCCTTGGAGTATTATATGAAACAAGCTAATATAATAAATCCAAATTAAAATTCACTTTATTTAACAAATTTATGAGAAAATCATACAGTGGCATTCCAAATTACTTAAATTAACAATGGCAATAGTTTTCGTATCGCAGAAGTCAGGAACACATACAATTCTTACAATTTGGCCTTCTTCTCCTGAAAGAAAAAATAGGAAATATTTTTATATTCGGTAACCTAAAACATATTTAAGATATTATAATCAAAATAGGATATAAACCTTTATATAGATCAGTAGCAAATTCTTTACAATTACCACTGAAATACACAGCAGGACAATTGTACATTGTAAATGGATCAGTTTCTGTACAAGGTGTGCAAGGCACAGTATCGGGGCAAGTTGGGGCAATGTGACGCCATTTTAATGTCTTTTTCATTATTTCTAAATGATTATCAAGTTTACTGTACTTCATTATGTCTCTCACTGGTTCACCTGATGTCCCTAGAAATAAGAAACCTAAAGGAAAGACAGCAAAATATAAGTGAAAGTGCCAAATTAACCATAACAATAGCAAATGGATCTTGAATAACAAATAGTTACCACCAATTTCGCATTCGTATGGATTTGAAACTCTATTAAATGATTTGTACTCCACAGCTTTTGGAAAAAGACCTATAAACATATAAATGTTTATTAAATTAAATTCCAATTAAACAAAAGTGAATATATGTGAGTGATAAATATATTACATCTAATTAATTTTACTCTTTTTTTTGGAAGTAATTTATTGTTCTCAACTTACAATAGTGGAATGGTTTTTGGGGTAACATTATGCCTGAAGGGTCTTTGCATCCTGGCATTAAATCTAAAGGTGCTACTGCACTTACAGCTGCAGAAAAAGAGTCTACTACTTCAGCCGAAGCAATTACATCAGACTCATTTAAAGTAATTTCATTTGAATGATTTGCAAATACACCACCTAAAATATTAATTTCAATTTAAATTATTACTAGTTAGTTGTTATCTCATGTGGAGACTAAAATGTTTATTTTTACCTGCAATAATCACCCTTACAATCTTGGAAATATCTTTTTGGTATTCTGAAGTGCCACAAAAACCAGACAACCATTCAAGGCATAAATTTAAAGAGAACAAATGATCAGCTGACTTAGATGCCATATTAAGACCTGACATAAGGACTACATATCTGCAACAATTATTTATATTCTAAGCATTAATGTTATTGAAAACAATATAAAGCAAAAGCAAAGATCAAGCATTTAAACAACAGTTAAAGGATAACTAACATACATTTATTCCTCACAACGACGACCAATTTAAGAGGGGTGATCCAAAAAAATTATAACGAAATTCATATGTAAAAGAATACTATACATAATTTATATTTTAACATAGTGGTTGGTCGCAAATATTACGTAGTGGTTAACGATGTTAAATTAATTGAACACTAAAAATTTATCTGGCGTTCCCCAGGGGTCACATCTTAGTCCAGTTCTATTTTTAATATATATAAATGACATGTTTTCGCAATTCTGACGCTTACTTGTTTGTGTAAATTCATTAAGCCGTTAAAGACAACAGAAGATAATATCCTTCTGCAGAACAATATAACAGATTATTTTCCTGGTGTGTAGATAAATAACAATATGAAATGTTTGCAGTTATCTTCCTCGCGTGATATGAATATGGTGTCAATACCATATTCATATCTTATATCATGTATTAACGAAAAAACAAAAAATAAAAGGTTGATCCGAGTGTTAAATATGTATACGAGATTTGAGCATTATTGAAAGAAATTATTATTGCCAGTGAAGTTTGTTATAGGAACACCAAACACATCAAGCGACCGAATAAAAAAATAGAACATAAACACAACACTAATCACACGCTTAGCTTAGCTGGAAAAACCAAGCAGAGATAGCAAGCAAGCTAAGGAAGCCTTGACTGCAATTAATGGTCGTATATCCAAGTCGCTAATGCGACTAAACAAACTCCAGTTTGGGATAGCAACAAGTGCTATTACTGGACATAGTTCTTTTAACAAACATTTGTTTTACATAAGTGCGATGGCGCTCTCTAAGGTCGTCGGCAACATCAAGGAATGGCTCAACTTCTTTGAGAAAATTTCATGGCTTGAATATCTACAATACTCCTGCTCACTCGCAAGAGACGCGTTTGGGATGTGGATATGCAGAAAATAACCCCTTGCAAACTAAACTAACTAAAACTAATCACTAGTGATACTGATCTGTGGGTAAATAAAATGAACCATGAACCTGTCAATGGGTCGACGAACCAGGGTTTGAAGTCTCTCAAAAAGAAGTTGAATAAACCTTTTTGGATTGTGTTCTGTTGAGATACTAAAATCATATTTAATATATTTTTAATTTGTCATAGTGTTTTTAACCTTCAAATATTTGAATTTTTATTTTTGTAATAATGTTGTTGAAAACGGCTCTAACGATTTGGTTTAAAAATTATAAAGTAGAGGTTTTAGGGAGGGAGAGCGAAAAATCGATATAGCACGTATTTTCCATATTTTCATGCACAAAGCAATAAACTTGACCTTAAATTGAAATTAACTATGTATAAATATTATGCAGATTTTTTAAAAGTGTTTATCAATGTTTGATCACAATATAGTTAGTTATAGCTGAAATAAACACATTATAATCCATGAAAATTATATTCTAATCATATATCTGCTTTGCTTTATATCAGCTATGTTATGCTAAAAAAACTGTGTTAAAATACATTTATAATTAGTTGATTAACCTTAAAACATAAAATGAAATAAAATAAATTGACTTTATATAAATTTAACATCACTGATATTTTAGTGAATGATTTGCTTGTAGCACTGAGGGACGTTTTGTTCAAATCATGTTGAAAGCCTAAAAAAAGCTAAAAAAGAATGTTTACTATGCTAGTTAATGCTAAATTTAATCACCTATCACTGCTTAACTCTGGTAGAGGCTTTTGAATATTACATTCAGGCCAGCACACATCTTTAATTGTAAATACCCCATCCTCATCTTCTGAACCTGAAAGTTAAGAGAGTCTTGTTCACTTTTATGCTACTTTCAATGAATTTTACAAAAGGGCAGTTATTACTTATGAGATTAATTTGAAACATCTTACATACTGTTACGGCCTACAGCTGCCTAAATAAGAGTAGAATCTTCCGGGCCCATAGCGGAAAACCTTACAAGAAGATGCAAGTCGGGCCTCAGCAAGGGGCCGCGTGGAAAGTCTCTAATTACAATAAACAATAAGGGGGGGCGTTCTATACTACTGCCATTCAACAGGGAGAATATTAAACCGAGCTTACTTACCTATATCCAAGGCGACTCTAGGACGATAGGCGACTAAAGGAGGATTCGGTCAGGTCGCATGTGGTTGTGTGGTGCAAGGGAAGTAAGGTGCTGTGATGTGTATCTGGGTGTGACTGGTGGTGATTGACCTTATTAGACCGTTGCCGTCGGCAGCAGCCCGGACGTCAGCACCGCTCCAAATTGAGGTAACCTTCCGCGGCGCCGTCCACAGTCACTTTCTTCGTTCGTCACGATGACAGTCCATTAACTCTATCGTACTATTAACTAACTTACAGAAGCCACTAACTCTCGCTTGTTATAAAGCTTAACACACAAAACGAACACGGAGTATTGGTCTATATGAAATCCCGTTACTATAAGCAAAAACCTAACACACCGCCCGAATACGAATGTCCGGATCAAAGTTCACTACCGCTTCGCGTGGCAACAATTATTTCTAAAATAGTAGTTAACATTGTCGAATGCCCTTATACAGATTCTGAGTTAGACATAATAAGTCCCGGGAAAGGCTATCAAACAAGGAATGCGCGTTACAAATCCTAGACAGTATATTTACTAGACGCCTAAACTATTCCGCGTTTCCCGCACAAAAATTGACAGCGTGCTGACGTTAGCACAGCTGGCAGACGACTCCTTTGCGCTCGCGCGCTCTCGCCACACCCAAGCTAGCCCGAACGTCAAACCGGTATCGCCGAGCCGCGCGCCCTCTGACGTCAATCCCGAAATCAGCGTTCGGGCGTAAACACATACATACTTATACATACATAGCATCACGCCTGTAATCCCTGAGGAAGTAGGTAGAGGCCAAAGAGCAGCAAGTTACTTGATCCACCTTAAGTAATAAAATATGGGGTTCTTGAATTTAAAAAAAATGTATTTTTATTTGAGTTTTTTTGGCATTATGCTACAAATGCATTAATAGAACTCAAAAGTGACATAATGAAATCCCAAAAGTGGTTTCAATAAGTTTAAGTAAGTAATTGTGTAGTGTTTTTATTCTAAATACCTAAATAGTCATAAATATAAAATAAGTATGAAATCCTTTGCTTTATATGAATTTTTAATTTTGTGCGAAAAGAAGAAATAGTTTTTAACTAGTAGGTATTTCATTTTGGTCCAAAACGTATATTAAAGAAATTATTTATTTTTAGTGTAAATAGCAAATTATTGTCAAAATGGTTTCATAACATAAAAAGTGTATGCATGTAAATCAATATTTTAAATTAACAATTATTTAAAATTTTTTGGACAACTACGACTAAGACAAAACTGCATTATTTAGGCCAGTCTTATTATTTTCATTATTAATTGTTTCCATTATCCTATAGAGGGTGTTTAAATTAGTTATATAATTGAATATAGGTAAGCAAAATACAATTTAATTTTGAACTATTTCAAACTAGCTGTTCTCCGCGACTTCGCCCGCGTGGAATTTATTACGATTGGATTTTATGCGTTTTAAATTTTTTTGGCGGGACCCTAATGCCTGAATCCTGTTTTTGTCCACTAGTTACTCTTTTTGCAGTTTAGAAAATGATTATATAATCTATTTTTGAATTGGTTCACGTTTTGGGCTGAGACTACATTCTCTGGTAGCTTATTCCACTTGGTGACTACACGGTTACAAATGAAGTGCTTGTGAGGGTTGTTGTTTGAAAAGCTGGTACATAGCTTAAGATGGTGGCCCCTGAGGTGAGTGTTTTCATTACGAATAAACAATTTGTCAAACTCCTCAATGTCGTAATGCCCATTTAAGATCTTAAAGGTCTCGATTAGATCTCCTCGGTCCCTGCAGCTTTTTAATGTTGCAAGTTTTAAAACTTTCAAACATTCTTCATAAGACTGCCGTTTCAATAGCCATGGTACTTTAGTGAAGCTACCCTGCACTTTTTCCAAAGCTTCAATGTCCTTGATAAAGTAGGGATTCCAGTCTTGAAATGTGTATTCTAATATTGGCCTGATAAATGTTTTGTGGATCTTAAGCATCATTTCCGGTATTAGGACAGCGAAAGCTTTTCTCAGATGTAGATTATTCCCTTGGCTTTCTTGACAATTGCGAAATATGCTCTTCCCACTTAAGTCTTCTGCAATTTTTACTCCCAAATCTGTTCGTATTTTAACATCTGTAAGTGACGCGCCGCCCAGTTTATAGGTAAGATGAGGGTTACGGTTTCCTATGTGTAATACTGTACATTTTGAAGCATTGAGATTTATGAGCCATTCCTTGGACCAAATAACTATTTTATTTAGATTATCCTGAAGGCGGTCGTAGCCTATTAGTGGATTTGCAAATATTTCAGTATCATCTGCAAATATGCTGACATTACATTGTAGGCAAAGGGGAAGGTCAAAAGTATAAATAATGTACAATACAGGGCCTAGAACGGAACCCTGTGTCGCTCCACTATGTATTTCTTTGTGAGTAGCCTAAGTTACTCCTTATAACAATAGCTATCTGCCAGTGAATTGGTCCAGCCATTCCGGAGATTAGCCAGAACAAACAGACAGACAGACAAAAATTTAAAAATTGTGTTTTTCTAATAAATACCGTATATAATTTCATATGCATTTAGTCAAAAGCTCTTATTTTGGTAACCATCGTTTTTTTTATTTTTAGTAATTAGGAAGACAACACAAGATGACATGGGGGTGGATTTTCTTACAGTGACACTATGGCAAGACCTAGATAACGATGTTGTCTTTGCATGGGCCAGATGCGCTTAATAAGTGAGTATGCATGAATCATTTATAATATAACCTAAACACAAGTTTAGTCCCATTACACACCATAGTCCTGATAATGCTGTGATTTATTTACTGATTAATCTAGAGATCTCAAAGTAAATTGTACTTTGATTATTAAATATATTTTTAGAGAAAAATATATACTTAGTACATACAAAGTATATAAAAATTAAATAAGGAGATATTCTGTTAAAAATTATTTCGTTATTAATTAATTAATATTTTTAGAAGCTGGTGTTGTTTTAATTTCATAAATACAATAAACGAACAATGAACTGCTTTCAGTTTTCATTAAATAAGTCAAATAATCATTTGACGTAATCTCACATGTTAGAGCCATGCTGCAGCTATATTAGTAGTATAGTTGTAGCACGAAGGGGTCGGCTCGACCGGGGAAGGACCACGCTCTCACAGAATACCAGCTTAACACTGCTTTGTTTTGTATGGTGAGTGTTGAGAACCGGACACTTTTTACTGGAAAGGAGACATTCCATCTTAGTCCTCACGAGTGACAACGCCTATGCATTTTGGTTCTTTATTGAAGATAGATGTAGATGTCTATGGGTCTCAGTAACCCCTTACCATCAGGTGGACTGTGTGCTCGTTTGTCACCCTATCCTATAATTTTTTTTAAAAATAAGTCAACAAACAGATTTCAAATAAAATTGTCATTATTTTCCAAAATTCATTATTACCTATTTTCTGTACAGGAAATAATTTTTTACTTTACCAGTTTTAGTATATTTTGATGTTAAAACACATTATTATGTCGATTTCCTATTGTGTTACCAACAAATTTCTTGAAACACATTTACACTAGCATGTATATAGGCAAATTATTTATTTATTTTTAACAAAGTATAGTTATTTAATTACATCCGACAGTACAAAAAAACTTACAAAAGTTTCTCCATGTACCGCTGCATCGTAACTTCGATCATGTTCAATCGGTTTGCGTTGCGACAACGTATTTAATGACGTATATAAATAGTGTGACAAAACAGCAAGATGTTTTTTTTAACTAGGTGTCTACCATAGCAAAATATAGTTAGTATGTTAAATGAAAATAGAGTTACTACCCATGTAGTTAAAGAATGGGATTGAAAATGGCGGTACCTCTATTCACCTCTCGCTCGCACCCATATGGGATGGGCCCGATGAGCCACCACATCTGATCTTATTCTTTATCCATACAGACTATAACTTCTTTTTTATCACCCTAAAACATCCACTTCTGGACATTGGCCTCTCCCAAGCCAAAGTTTCCTGATTTGTCTTAGTCATAATGCTTAGCAGGCAGGTTTACAATGGTAGTATTAGATATTTTGCACACCTCGCGAAGCGGAGAGGTTGGGCTCTACTGTACAAATATTTTAAATTACTCCTTCCACTCACATTAAGTAGTGTTTATTATTTTACATCACACTAATATGTTAGATCACACTAATGAACAAGCCTGATGTTTTATTTTTGAATTATATTGTAGTGTGTGTTTAGTAATTATATTATAGTGTGGTGGTGGTAACAAAATATATAATGTGGACGTACTTTAGTCTGTGGTTCATAAATTCTCTGTGTACAAGATATCCCGAGACCTACTTAACAAAAAAACCTAATTATTTTTTCACTATCTTCAGAATCATATAGAGCTAGCTTTTTTTTGATAATCACTTCTGTATTCACTATTCTTAATAAATATTGATTAAATGATTTTTTAAATTTACTTACCAAGGATAGCAACAACAACACCAGTGACTACTTCATGTACATCAATGCAGTTATTAGATAATTTAATCCTTTGAAGCTCATCTTCTAGAACAAGACTATCAGATTCATGGACAAAATGAGTTCTACAAAGAGGTATTTTAGTTAGACACTATAACTGTACAATAAAATTCTAGTAATCACTAATTAGATATGAAGTAAAGGTGGCAAACCTTGTAGGCTGGGGAATAATCTCTAGCTGGTCGGAAAGCTCTTTCAATATGCTTGGTTTCAACTGTTGATGTTTGAAAAGCGTACCAATAATTACACATAATGTACTCTTTTCCCGTAGTTCACACAACTTTAAAATCTTATATTTATTCGACCACTTCTTCTTAATAATTGGAATTAAAATATTCCTGAACGTATTTAACCTCGCAGAATATATATGAGCATATTGCTTAGAAAAATTGCGTGATACTTGGTAGAATCGTTTTGAACAATCCCTATAATTAATAATTTCTCTGTCTAGGTCTACCGCTTGAAATTGAGCTTGATTTGAATTCGTAATTGTTTCTGATTTAAAAAGCATTATGAGCAGATAATGAGAGAAAAGAAATGAAAATTAAGAACCACACAGTACTTTTTACCCAAAAATTATACAAGTTTATACTTAATTTGTGCTAAACAAAACCAAGTCTATAACAAGAGCACTTGTGCTAGTAATATTTAAATAAATATGGACAGGACAGCTGAATATTGGTTCTTGTTCTGCTTTTCTTCTTTCTGTCTCTCTTTTTTATGGATATTGGTTTGTTTTGCCGCCAGACTATTGTCAATGTCAATTGTCAACTCAATTGTCACTGTCACTTTTTTTTCTTTTTTTGGAGTTTATGGCCTGGCATCTAGACCTTTAAGCCACACTGTCACTTTTTTTTGGAGCAGTACTGCCAGATCAAAAAACTCATTCAGCGCTAGGACAACACAAAAAGCGCTAGATTTTATGAAAAAAGCGCTTTAAAAATGCCCTATTTTTCGCGCTAAATTAACTACAAACAAAGTTTGTGTGTTTTTTTTAATAATTTATAATTCAAGAAAATATAATCATAATAAAGAACACAATATTAAGTTTTTTTCTGGCAATATTTTTTTGATGTATCAATACTTCAAAGAACATCGACTTATAATTATGGCAATTGCTGTCAACAGTAGTTAGTACTGTACGAACAATTACAATGTCATTAATTGTTTTAAAGTGCAATGTATTTCGCAACTTAGTTTCAGATGTCAGCATCTGATTGCAGTTGCTACCCAGATTCTTTATGTTGTAACTTCTAACTTAGCTGTGCTCTAAACAACTGACTGAAACTGAATAGAGCAAAATAAATGCGTTGCCAAAATCATGAATGAAAACTTTAATAAAGGGGATTTCCCCGCTTATAATCGTCGGTAAAAAAATCAAGTTGATCATCCTAAAGGAGGAGCCGGGAGATCCATAGCACAGGGTATCCTAGTTTAGACTCGTCTCCCATGCTCTTTGTTTTGTGGAAAAAATATGTTTGAAAAAGATAAACTGCAATGTACTATTAGTGGGAAAAAAATATAAAGGTCATTATTATTATTATCGGTAATGTGGACTAACAGTGCTGCTATGAAAGCGTTAGATAACCCTCTAGTCGCTACAATTTTGTAATGTGCGCTAAATACACCAAAAAGCGGTGGATTAAGCGCTAGGTGCTAAAATTTCGAAATGCGCGCTATACGCGCTGCTAAAAAAGCGCTAGATCTAGTCCCCAAAGCGCTAAAATGAGAGCACTGTTTTGGAGTTTATGGCCTAGTATCTCATAGTATCTAGAACTTTAGGCCAATGTCACTGTCACTGGTTGTCACCAGTGTTACAAACCCCAAAAAATATTTACTCATAAACGTTTATGCCGTGTAGTGGCGGTCAAGAATATCCACTACCCCATATCCTGCCGTGGGTGTCGTAAAAGGCGACAAAGGGAAACAGGCAGAAGATGGGCCGCAGCATCTTCCTGATAATAGCCAAAATTATAATAAAAAAACTGCGGTTGCCAACCCGCTCGCCAAGCGTGGCAACTATGGCAAATACCCCCCAATGACTAAAGCAACAAACAGACGGCCCCCAGTCCCCGGCGGCCCCGCTATTCCTGGCTACGGTGGCGACCATGGTAACGGCGGGGCAGGGGGTGCTAAGAATCTCCGGTGGAGGTTCGGTTGCCACCTTAGACGACTCGACCTGGCAACGTACAACGCACGCACCCTGAGGACTGACGAGAAGATCGTGGAGCTGGAAGAAGAGATAGACAAGTTGCGCTGGCATATTATAGGATTATCCGAAGTCCGAAGAGAGGGGGAGGACACGGTAATCCTCGAATCCGGCAACTTGCTCTATCACCGGGAGGGCGACCATCTGTCCCAAGGAGGTGTCGGATTTATCGTCCACAAGTCTCTCGTTAACAACGTTGTAAAGATCGGGAGTGTGTCGACGAGGGTTGCGTACCTTATACTCAGAATCACCAAACGGTATTCGCTGAAGGTCATACAGGTTTACGCACCAACCTCGGCACACCCCGATCAGGAGGTGGAGGAAATGTATGAGGATATCTCTAGAGCCATGCATTCCTCCAAAACCCAATATACGGTGTTAATGGGAGACTTCAATGCAAAACTAGGCACAAGAGAGAACGGTGAGCTGAAAGTAGGGAAATTTGGAATAGGGCAACGGAACCCAAGGGGCCAGCAGCTGGCCGACTTCATGGAGAAAGAGGGACTCTTTATGATGAACTCTTTCTTCCAGAAGCGGCCCCACAGGAAGTGGACCTGGTCGAGCCCCGACGGTTCGACAAAAAATGAGATTGACTTCATTATGACGACCAGACGACAACTGTTCAGTGATGTCTCCGTGATCGCGAGGGTGAAAACTGGTAGCGATCACCGAATGGTTAGAGGCACACTGAACCTAAACGCTAAGTTGGAGAGGTCTCGTCTAATGAAGTCAACGCTCCATCCCCCTCGTGCTCTGTTCCAAAGTCCCGAAACCTTTCAGCTCGAGTTACAAAACCGTTTTCAGTGCCTAGAAGACTGCAATGAAGTGGACGATATGAATGACAAGCTCGTGGAAGCTGTCCATGCGGTCGGAGCTAAGTTATGCAAGACCCGCCGCAGAAGAACACAAAAACTCTCCTATCACACTCTTAATCTCATGGCTGTTAGACGGGAGATGAAGCTACATTCTTCAACAGACTTGACAGCATACAGGCATCTGAACAGACAGATCTCCAAATGCATGCGGCGGGACTTACGCAACTTCAATACAGCTCGTATTGAAGAAGCGATAGAGCGGAACCAAGGCTCCAAAGTCTTTGCCAGAGATCTGTCTGTCAGAAAGAGCCAACTGTCAAAGCTGAAGACGGAATGTGGCAGCATCGTTTCCGGGACACCTGAGATTTTGAGTGAGATTGAGAGGTTCTATGGGCAGCTGTACACGTCATCGTTGGAGCCACACGCAAGTGTGAGTAACGATCCAAGAGCGAGTCTCATCCGACACTATTCCGAAGATATCCCAGACGTCAGTCTGAGCGAGATTAGAATGGCTCTCCAGCACCTTAAAAACGGTAAGGCCCCAGGCGAGGATGGAATTACAGCGGAGCTTCTGAAAGCGGGTGGAAGACCGGTACTTGAAGTCCTTCAGAAGCTCTTTAATTCCGTCCTCCATGGTGGCATTACACCGGAGGCGTGGAGCAGAAGTGCGGTGGTCTTGTTCTTCAAGAAAGGTGACAACGCTCTCTTGAAGAACTACAGACCGATTTCCCTTCTGAGCCGCGTCTACGTGCTGTTTTCGAGAGTCATTACGAATCGTCTCGCTCGCAGACTTGACGACTTCCAGCCTCCCGAACAAGCCGGTTTCCGAAAGGGCTTTAGCACCATAGACCACATACATACCCTTCGGCAAGTTGTACAGAAGTCCGAAGAGTACAATTTGCCACTATGACTGGCGTTTGTGGACTATGAGAAAGCCTTTGATTCTGTCGAAATTTGGGCGGTGCTGCAGTCCCTTCAGCGGTGCCAAGTTGACTGTCGGTATATCGAAGTGTTGAAGTGCTTGTACAGTAGGGCTACGATGGCTATCCGAGTACAGAACCAGAGTACGAAACCTATCCAATTGCAGAGAGGTGTAAGACAGGGTGACGTCATATCCCCGAAACTCTTCACCGTTGCATTGGAAGACGTTTTCAAGCTTCTGGACTGGTAAGGATACGGTATCAACATCAATGGCGAGTACATCACTCACCTTCGATTTGCCGACGATATAGTCCTTATGGCAGAATCGCTGGAGGGCCTAAGCACTATGCTCAATGACCTCAATAGTGTTTCCCAACGGATAGGTCTTAAGATGAACATGGACAAAACAAAGATCATGTTTAATGTCCATGTCACACCTATGCCGGTAGTTGTTGGGAGCACTAAGCTCGAAGTTGTTGACGAGTATGTTTACCTGGGACAAATAGTCCGACTAGGTAAGTCCAACTTCGACCGAGAGGTCAATCGACGGATTCAACTCGGCTGGGCAGCGTTCGGGAAGCTACGACACATCTTCTCGTCAGACATACCTCAAAACCTTAAAACGAAATTGTACAACGAGTACATGTTGCCAGTGATGACTTACGGAACTGAGACGTGGTCCTTCACTGCTGGCCGTATGAGGAAGCTCAAGGTCGCTCAGCGGGCTATGGAGAGGGCTATGCTCGGAGTTTCTCTGCGTGATAAACTTAGGAATGAGGATATCCGCAGTAGAACCAGAATAACCGACATAGCCCAACGAATTAGTAAGCTAGAAGTGACAGTGGGCCGGCCATATAGCTCGAAGAACCGACAACCGATGGGGAAGAAAGGTTCTCGAGTGGCAGCCTCGTATCGGTAGGCGAAGTGTAGGGCGTCCCCCCACGAGATGGAGTGACGACCTGGTAAGACATGCAGGAAGTCGATGGATGCAGGTGTGGACCGTGCTTTGTGGCATTCTTTGGGGGAGGCCTATGTTCAGCAGTGGACTTGTGAAGGGCTGTAATGATGATGATGATGAAACGTTAAGTCAAAAATCCCTAAAAATCACCTTATTTACTTCGAAATCCCCTAAAAACAATGTATTGTAATGCTTTGCAATGTTCTTTATATATAAATTATTTCATATTAATTATACTAGCTTTTTACCCGCGGCTTCGCTCGCGTTGGCTTCAATTTAGAAATATAATTAATACTACTTCATTTAAAGTTACAAATTAATGAAATTTATGTTCCTCCTTCCCTCTTGTCACACGTTCATTGTAAATAGAACTACATTTAATGTAAATCTATTTACGATGAACGTGTAACAGGGACTATGTTCATGAGCGGGTGTACAAATATAGAGAAGATGAGCAGCAGAGTCTTTCTGACTACAGCTTAAAAAAATCAACAACCCGCTTGCCAAACGTGGCAACAACGGCTAATATCCAACTTATTTCGTAATCTATGGAGGGAATCGAAATGATAAACGGGAGTAGAAATATATTAGCACCGTAGAGGCGGTGAATTAAAAACCAATACCTTATTTCGTCTCGTCTCGTCTCTAAGAGGCGACAGAAGGGAAACTGAAACAGGAGATGGATGGCAGCATCTTCCTGATAACAGTGCAGAGTTATAAAAAGTTGCGGTTGCAAACCTACTGGCCAATCGTGGCTACTACTGCGAATATCTGGCCTATTTGACAAACATTGGGAGAAGCCTGTGATCAACAGTAGATAGGCCTATTAAAAGTAAAAAAGTAGCAGCCTACATCCATCCCACTACTGGGAACAGGCTGCAGTGAGTTTTAGGACAAAAAAGAGTTGATTGAGTTGACTCCAATACGGGCTAACTGACTTCACATAAGTACACCTAAAAATGATTTCTTAAATATTTTTTTAACTTCTCAAATATGTAGGTTTTCTCGCGACATTTTCCTTCACCACCGAGATCGTGGTAAATCGAAACTTCAAATTGCAATTAAATATGATTGGTGTTGGGTGTGGATCAAATTTGGGTAGCTTACGTATTATGAAATTTACGTTTGGATCAGTTCGATTACAGGGTAACTTCCAAGATTCTATCAATACAGTTTTACTCATAGTTAAAATTAAAATAAACGTGCGTTTAAAATTTGCTGTCTTTGATTTTTATAGTACCTTTTGACAAGAGCCTGTTCATTAACTCATGTCAGCTATGAAACCGGGACTGTCACAAAAATTTCAATAAGTAGGTATGCCTGAAATCATGAAAGCTATCGTAATCTTAATCAATATGACAAACTGTTTCAAGCCTCATTAAAAGTAAAAAAGTAAAGAAGCAGCTTACATACGTCTTACGACTGTGCACAGGGCTGCTAACTACCCATGCCATATGCAAAATAGTGGTTTCATATGTCCACGAATTTTTAAAAACGATTTAGACATCAAGGTTTCGCCGCCATGTTATTATTTACCACTTCACTGAGCACGTGAAAAATAATCAAATAAAAATTCCTTACCAGTTTCACTGGTCCTCGCGGGAATCGAAGTCTTTAGTTCCTGAGCTTTGAAATCTTACGGCGAGATACACTCTCGCACTTTGCTTAAATAAAACTCATAAAAACTGAAAAGAAGCTTTGGCACTATTGTGAACCCCATCTACATTGTAATTAGTCAATCAAACTATTCCATCATTTAGATATGAAAATCTTACAAAACACTTAATTTTCAATTACTTACTTCTGACTTCATACAAAAAGAAGTTGGTGAAATATTTATATGCTGATAGACATCCAACATATTCAACTAAAGACATTCTGTCTTAAACACAGTTTTGTGTACACAGTTTTGTTAGTCATTTTGCTAAAAGTGACAAAAGCGATAAATCATCCCAACACCGATTTGGATATTTTAAGTCTGACAATTTTTGACGTTGGAAGAATAAGTATTATAGAATTCATATTATAGAATTCATATTCAATAGAATTATCATTAATATCGTCAGTTACTTATTATTAGTTTATTTAGCAATATGTAGATGGCGGTATTATGAAATTAAAAGTATGATAATAAAAACTGTACCCTCTAGTACTCAGCGAACTCACAATATAAAGCCAAAATTATACAATACATAAATTAGGTATAAATTGATGTAGGTTTTATTAAAAGTTCTGCTTCTGTAAAAAATACGCTATTAGCGCTGACTGGCGGTGTGTAATGAAATTATTTTACGATATAACCATATGAAGAAATAACAATGTTGTGTTTAGTTTTTAATATCGCCAAACGATCTCTATTCATTGATTTGGTCAAGTTATATAATGATATAGTCAAAAAACAATGTAAAATTTAATTAAGTGGTGCAATCTAGCCACGGGTGTACCTCAAGGTGGCGTCCTTTCTTCTTTAATCTTTTCCATCTTTATCAACTGTATCACCCAGGTGACATCTTCAAACTTCCATCTCTATGCAGACGATTTGCAGCTGTATCGTCATTTTCTAGTGACTGAAGCAAATTCAGCATTACTTGAAATAAATAACGATCCAAATAAAATCGATGAGTGGTCTAGATCATACAGACTTGTTATAAACCCTAAAAGATCATAAGCAATGATTATAGGCACCAGGTTTACTCGTAAATTACTTGACTTTTCTTCACTGCCAACTCTTCAAATTAATGGCATTCCACTAAGCATTTCAGAAACGGTTAAGAATCTAGGCATCATCATGGATTGCAAGTTGACATGGAATGCACATATCACAGAAATTAGCAAGAAAATATATTATACTTTTCATTCCTTAAAATGCCTTCAACATTTTCTGCCGTTATGAACGTAAATTTCTCTTGTTCAAACATTTATTTTCCCGATTCTTGACTATGCTGATGTCTGTTATTTGGATGCGACTGAGGAGCAATTAAACAAACTTGAGCACTTGCAAAACTTATGTATTCGTTATATTTTCGGACTAAAAAAATATGACCACGCCTACTCCTATCGCAAACAGCTCAAGTGGCTCCCAATCCGACTTCGCAGGAATACCCGAATCCTATGCCTCCTCTTTAACATACAATCCAACATCACCACCCTATCTACGTGATCGATTCCACTTTGCGCACTCCCCCGATACAGTTTGCAGATCACATTTAAACACCCTCCTAAATTTCCCTTCTTCTAAAACTAAGTCCTATTCTCACTCTTTTACAGTACATGCAGTTAGGTTATGGAATTCTCTTCCTGCTGCAATTAGAGAGGCTCAATCAGTGTCCGTGTTCAAAAGGCGAGTCAAAGAGCACTATCTTTCTTTGTCGTCCCAATGATTATATATAATATATTATTATATTTATATATGTATATATATATATATATATATATATATTATATGTGTATGTGTGTATATGTATTTATAGTGGTATTTAGTTATATGTATGTTTACATGGATATTTGTTTTTATTACCTTTACTTTATGTTACGTATATTAATATTATAAAATTTTATTATGAGAGTGCCCACTAGATCAGCTTCTCTTTTAATTTGTCCAGTATCAGGCCTGCTGGAAGAAATTTCAATATGAAATGAGCAGTGCCTTTGTACAAAAAGTTTTTTTTTCTCTTCCTTGTAACATTATTTTGTGTGTACATAAATTGTTAAATAAATATATAAATAAATGCCACCATTCCGTGCCATAATTGACTACTTTATGATATTATTAATTCTAAGATCTGGCTAATACATCTATAAAAATCTTTTTATTTAAACTATATAGATATTGAGAGTTTTACAATAATTACAGTATTTATCAGTTTATTTATAGATAATCTAAACTTTTTTATAGGTTAGAAATTAAACTTACAAACATCTAAAATTTTGTGATTTTCAATAGATGTCATTATTATCTACTATTTAAGTAGTAATTGGTTACTATAACCTTTATTAATTCCTGCTAAAATGAGTTATCCAAAGAACTGAAAATGAACGTTAGAATTTTCAAATAATTATGAATTAAATTATTAAGACATATAAATGTAAGATATATTTTTTTTTATTTATTTATAACTGGAGGTAAAATGTTACTACTTTTTGAATTTCACATGAGATGGCACTGTTTTGATAAAGTGAAACTTAGATTGTCGACGTAGTTAAAATTATCACGCAACGGTTAAAACTAATTTTAGGCTCTATTTATAAATATGTTATTTATTAAACAAAATCACCAATAATCAAATAAAATGGAAATGAACATCTTGAGGAAAGAAAATACTTAACCCTCCTTTTTAAAGTTCCGTAATCGGATAAAAAGTAGCCTATAAGTTGCCCCGGGTCCCAAACTATCTATACACAAAATTTCATGGAAATCTGTGCAGTAGTTCTTGCGTAAATCGGGAATACACAAACAGACAGACAAAAGGCGCAGTTCCACACTTTTAGTCCTCAGGAATTTTATTTTCCAGAAATTATTAGAATTACAGACTCTACTTTTCTACAGATTTATTATATGTATATATATTTCTTTTCCAACTGATGGTTCCGACATATTAAAATCATACATTTAGATTTAAAATAAACATACATTTTAGTAAATGGATTAAACGTTATAAATGATGCACTATTTCGTTGCAATGTGATTCAGATCATCATCACACTTGGTAGCATTTCAATAGATAACAATAAATTGCAACCGTGTTAATTAATGCAAAACATACATTTTGAGACATATTCGAAAGGTTTACAACCAGCTGCGCTGTATACATCGAAAACTTCTAAACATATATAAGTGGTAGAGCCATGCTGCAGCTATATTAGTAGCTCACCACGCTTTCACAGAATAGCAGCTTAAAAGTGCTGTGTTTCGTATGGTGAGTGTAGAGAACCTAAGTCCTCACGGGTTACAACGCATCTGCATTTTGATTCGCAAACGAGGACAAATGTAGATGCCTATGGGCCACAGCAATCATTTACCATCAGGTGCACTGTGTGCTCGTTTGTCACCCTAACCTATAAAAAATCAGCTTAAGTGGAAAAATATATAAGTCCCAGAAAATATAAAGCCCCTAAAAATCCCGTAGCACTAGGAAAACCCCAAAGTGGGGAACTCTGGGTGTCCCACACTTGTCAGTTCTCGACCACAGACTACTAAGAGGTTAATGTGAGTTAATGGTTTCTCACTCTCAGTTATCAAGTAGCCACACTTGCATTTTTTATTTGTGATTTGGGATTTTTTTCAGAAGTGGTATAAAAGTTTATTCATTATTAACCAAAAATAAAATATATCCAAAAGTATATTTTAGACAGTTACAATGTAAGAAATATGAGTAATTTTCATTATTTTTAATACTATTCCATTTCTGTTTCATTAGAAGATCCAATGAATCCCTCGGGTGATTAATCTAGTTCAAACATGTATAATTTCCAGTTTCTTTTTACATAATAAGGGTGACAAACGTGCACACAGTTCACCTGATGGTAAGTGTACTAAGTAAGTACTAAGCACCCCCGCCACGACAAGTGGGAATCCGTTCGGGGAGGAATTGTCAGCTGTCTGCTGGCTCAACTGTATCTTGCCTGAAGTCGCCGTCAAAATCTCCCAAGCTGCTGTACAATGCGACGCATTAATTTATTGTGAAGTAATGTACTATGAAGGATAATTAATACATTACAACTACATGCTCAGATGGGCTAGTACCCAGAGCCATAAATCAAGTTATACAAAAAATATTACTACTATGCTGTTATTTAATTAATATTTATCTATGGTTATAGTCTATTACTCATCATGGTTCACAGCTAATGGACGTATTGTTTATTTTATACCTCGCTATTTATTGCGTTAAGATGGGTCTGTAAAGTTTCCAGATATTTTTGCACACCTGTGTGTGCCTTTACAGCGTAACAAAAATGATGTAAGTTATGAAAGTGTTTTGTGTTTATTTTCTGTTATTCTTTTTACATGATTACACCATGAAATCATGACATTCCATTGCTTCATAGCTTTCACTTTCACTGTCTGCGATTTAAAGAGTATGCCTACGACTGTATCATTTCTCGAACTTTTAATTTGCACGTAGTCTCATATATCTAATTATTGCCAACTAGACGCACAGTTTTTTTACATAAGGTCTTCATCATCATATTGTTATGCCTCATAGTTTTTATTTCCATATAATATCGGATAGTGAATGCGTAAACTTAGATGACGATCGAATAGAACGTTACTATGTCTATGCAAATATTTTAATTTTTTATATTCACTACGTTTTTTTTGCTGATTAATGGCCGGAAATCCATCCAAGAAAGCTGGTTGGGAAAATATTCTAAAGACTGTATGCCAGTTTGGCAAGCTGGCACATTGTTTGCAAGACTTATGTCGAGCTGTGAACTTAAAATGCTCTTTATGTGATTTCTGTAATATCACTTTCATGTTTCTCTCTAAATAATTTACACAGTGTCACAGGTTGAAAGTTGAAGCTTTACATTTATTTATAAACACATTTATTTTTAACTATCTATAAAAATTAAAATTGGTATTTATCAGAACATTGGTATTATCTTATAAACTTCATCAAATATTTGTCTATCCTTTTATTAATTTTTCAAAGAAATTTTTATTTATATTTTAATTCTACTTTAAAATTAGTGTAAGCATTATCTTTATAATTTACTAAATCAGATTTCTGTTTGATAAATAAAGTTTACAGATTAATTCAACATGTAGAAATAACAACAATAAGCTTGAGCGCATTCAAAATTTATGTATTAGATTCATATTTGGGCTTCGCAAATATGATCATATCTCTGAATTTAGCAAACAGGTCAAATGGCTCCCGATCCACCTTCGCAGGAATACTCTCATTCTCTCCACTTTGTATGGTGTGCAGTTTAATCCTTCCACTCCTCATTATTTAAAAAACCGTTTCCAGTATCTTTCCCTTACCTATAATCGGTTCCTTCGATCCTCTGTCAATCTTTCTCTCTCTACTCCTTTGCACTCTTCCTCCTTTTTTAAGAAATCCTTAACTGTAACTGCTATACGTTTGTGGAACTCTTTGCCTCTCCATAATTGTCTTGCTCAATCTCTTCATTCTTTCAAGTCTTGTTAAATAATATTACTTAGAACGCTATTAGATAAATTACTGTTCCTTTTTCATACTCTTTTCATTTAATTTATTATATTATATCATACATAATCTTCACTTATTTTTATTTCTATGTATTTTCATATTTTTATTTTGTACGCCTCCCTCTATTTTTAACTATATAAAAGTAGATGAAATATTGGTTTAAAGCACATAATAGTAGCACATATCAAGGAGTACCAATAACAGTTGGTTGTTGCTGATATTACTTGTCCTGATGCTAATAATAATTAATCTTGACCAAGATTAATCATCATTCATCATTACAGCTCTTCACAAGTCCACTGCTGAACATAGGCCTCCCCCAAAGAATGCCACAAAGTATTATTATTTTATTATTTATTATTATTTTTTTTTTTTTATAAAACATTACCCCCACACTAGGATTTTCTCCTGTATCGTAGAGGCAGTCTACAAACATAAATTGCACAAGGACAAACATCCAGACCAGGAAAAATTATTTGCAGGCCATACAAATACTTGTTCCGTGCGGGATTCGAACCCGCGGCCCCCAGCGCAGCAACTCATTCCTAAGCCACTGCGCCACGGAGCCGTCCAAGTATGGTCCATATCTTACCAGGTCGTCACTCCATCTAGTGGGGGGACACTACACTTCGTCTTCAGCCTGTGTAGTGGCGGATAAGAATACCCACTACCCCATATCTTCCCGTGGGCGTCGTAAGAGGCGACAGAATTAAACTGAGACAAGTAGGGCAGCAGCATCTTTCTGATAACAGCAAAACAACAATAAAAAAAACTGCAATTGCCAATCCTCTCACCAGGTGTGGCAACTATGGCAATATACCCCCCATGATGAAAGTTACGAAGAGACGGCCTCCAGTCCCCGGCGGCCCCGCTATTCCTGGCTACAGTGGCGACCATGGTAACGGCGGGGCAGAGGGTGCTAAGAATCTCTAGTGGAGGTTCAGTTGCCATCTAACACGAATCGACCTGGCAACATATAACACACGCACCTTGAGGACTGACGAGAAGATCCAGGAGCTGGAAGAAGAGATAGACAAGTTGCACTGGAATATTATATAATTATCCGAGGTCCGAAGAAAGGAGGAAGACATGGTAATCCTCGAATCCTGCAACTTGTTTTATCACCGGGAGGGCGACCATCTGTCCCAAGGAGGTGTCGGATTTATCGTCCACAAGTCTCTCGTTAACAACGTTGTAAAGATTGAGAGTGTGTCGACGAGGGCTATACTCAGAATCACCAAACGGTATTCGCTGAAGGTCATACAGGTTTACGCACTAGCCTCGGCACATCTCGATGAGGAGGTGGAGGAAATTTATGAGGATATATCTAGAGCCAAAACCCACTATACGTTGTTAATTGGAGACTTCACCACAAAACTAGGTACAAGAGAGATCGATGAGCTGAAGGTAAGGCAATTTGGAATAGGGCAACGGAATCAAGGGGACTTCATGGAGAAAGAGGGACTCTTTATGATGAACTCTTTCTTCCAGAAGCGGCCCCACAGGAAGTTGACCTGGTCAAGCCCCGACGGTTCGACAAAAAATGAGATTGATTGCATTATGCCGACCAGACGACAACTGTTCAGTGATGTCTTAGTGATCGCGAGGGTGAAAACTGGTAGCGATCACCGAATGGTTAGAGGCACACTGAACTTACAACGTTAAGTTGGAGAAGTCTCGTCTAATGAAGTCAACGCTCCGCTCCTCTCGTGCTCTAAATCCAGAGTCACGAAACCTTTCCGCTTGAGCTACAAAACCGTTTTTAGTGCCGAGAAGATTGCACTGCATTGGATGATATGAATGATAAGCTTTTGAAAACTTTCCATGCGGTCGGAGCTAAGTTCTGCAAGACCCGCCGCAGAAGAATACAAAACCTCCCCAATCACAGTCTTAATCTCATGGCTGTTAGAAGGGAAATGAAGCTACAGTCTTCAGCAGATTTGACAGCATACAGGCAACTGAACAGACAGATCTCGAAAGGTATGCGGCGGGACTTACGCTACTTCAATACAACACGTATTGAAGAAACGATCGAACGTAACCAGGGCTACAAAGTCTTTGCTAGTGATATCTGTCTGCCAGACAGAGCCAACTTTCAAAGCTTGAAGACTGAGTGTGGCAGCGTCGTTTCAGGTACATCTGAGATTTTGGGTGATATTGAGAGGTTCTTCGGGCAGCTGTACACATCATCGTTGCAGCCACATGCAAGTGTGAGTAACGATCCAAGAGTAAGTCTTATCCGGCACTATTCCGATGATATTCCGGACGTCAATCTGAGCAGGATTACAATAGCTCTCCAGTGTCTTAAAAACGGCGAGGCCCTAGGTGAGGATGAAATTACAGTGGAGCTTTTTTTCCTTCAGAAGTTCCTTAATTCCGTCCTCCATGGTGGCACTACTCCGGATGCGTGGAGCAGAAGTGCGGTGCTCTTGTTCTTCAAAAAAGGCGACAATGCTCTTTTGAAGAACTACAGACAGATTTCCCTTTTGAGCCGCGTCTACGTGCTGTTTTCGAGAGTCATTACGAATCGTCTCGCACGCAGACTTGACGAATTCCAGCCTCTCGAACAAGCCGTTTTCCGAAAAGGCTTTAGCACTATAGACCACATACATACCCTTCGGCAAAATGTACAGAAGTCCGAGGAGTACAATTTGCCACTTTGTCTTGCGTATGTGGACTATGAGAAAGCCCTTGTTTCCGTCGAAATTTGGACGGTGCTGCAGTCCCTTCAGCGGTGCCAAGCTGACTGTCGGTATATCGAAGTGTTGAAGTGCTTGTACAGTAGGGCTACGATGGCTATCCGAGTACAGAACCAGAGTACGAAACCTATCCAACTGCAGAGAGGTGTAAGACAGAGCGATGTTATATCCCCGAAACTCTTCACCGCTGCATTGGAAGACGTTTTCAAGCTACTGGACTGGAAAGGATAACTGTATCCTATTTATTATAGTATTTACGTCAATGGCGAGTACATCACTCACTTTCGATTTGCCGACGATATAGTCCTTATGGCACAATCGCTGCAGGACCTGAGTACTATATGCTCAATGACGTCAATAGTGTCTTCCAACGGATAGAGTCTTAAGATGAACATGGACAAAACAAGTCATGTGTAACGTCCATGTCACACCTATGCCGGTTGTTGTTGGGGACACTAAGCTCGAGGTTGTTTAAAATCGTAAATTGTTGATGAGTATGTTTGCCTGGGACAAATAGTCCGACTAGGTAAGTCCAACTTCGACCGAGGGGTCAATCGACGGATTCAACTCTACTTCGTTTGGGAAATTACGGCATATCTTCTCGTCAGGTATACCTCAAAACTTAAAAAACTAGACTGTACAACCAGTGCGTGTCCTTCACTGCTGGTCGTATGAGGAAGCTCAAGGTCGCTCAGCGAGCTATGAAGAGGGCTATGCTCGGGGTTTCTCTGCGTGCTAAACTTAGAAATGAGGATATCCGCAGTAGAATCAGAGTTACCGACACAGCCCAAAGGATTAGTAAGCTGAAGTGGCAATGGGCCGGCCAAATAGCTCGAAGAACCGACAACCGATGGGGAAAATAGGTTCTCGAGTGGCAGCCTCGTAACGGTGGACGAAGACCAAGATTAGTATAGTTAAAATATTTTCGACCCAGACTTTAGCAAGAAAAAGTGTATTGCCTATCAGTTTAAGTTGAAACTAGTTTTTTTTTTTACTAAAATAATTTATCATTAGTTAGCAAAACTAGATCAGAGATATTACTTGATCCTGTCAGAAAAGTAATATCTGCGACAGTAGGTTGAGGTATGGCTAGCGGTCTCAGAACACTACCGAGAGAAGAACGCCTAAAAAATGGAAACGCGTGTTTATGAATGTACACTACAAGCGCCGCGGTGGGCGCCCATATAAAACTTTTTGGCGGGAATTTCAAACCTTTGTATTCTGTAATCTGTAAGGCAAATTCGAGTAATTTTGGTTCAAGCCTGAGAAACCTATTGGGTGAATTCCCATACATTTGAGAGGTTGCACCAAAATTACTCGAATTTACTTTAGAGGAGCATGTGTGATAAAATAAAACTAAAAATAGATACATAGTTAGGTTTGTAATTTTATTTTTTGGAAGACAAATTGTGTTATATACTACAATTATTTTTATTATAGTATTAACTTTGACATCAGGAAGTCAATCACCTCTGTCTTCCATGATCATATTTGTATTGAAAAATATTATATTGATTTGTTGGGTTTTGAAAATCGGTTTGTAGCTAATTAAAATAAAAACCAATAAAATCCTTGTAGAAATAGAAGGGCCTTTGCCCAGATGTGGGTTCTGTAAGCTATCACTTACATTTTCTTAATCTAGAAACTGCATCATATAATCCATGTTCTTAAACGAAAAAGGCGACGCAGTGACTATGTGTATTTTACACAAACTATATCTATAACTATATCAAGCTACTTTTGACCTCCTTTAAGTGGAAAACTGTACTACTTATTACTTACTAACTTAACTTTCTAACTAGCTGTTCCCCGCGACTTCGCCTGCGTGTTATTTGGGGGTTTCATTTTTTTGCGCGGCACTCTAATTCTTTTTCTAAAATAAAAGTAGCCTAAGTTACTCTTTGTGACAACAGCTATCTGCCAGTGAAAATCCCGTCAAAATCGTTTCGGAAATTAACCGGAACAAACAGACAGACAGTCAGACAAAAACTTTAAAAATTGTATTTTTGTTATTAGTACCGTATATACTTTCACATGCATTTAGTAAAAAGCTGTAATTATGACATTACAAACAGATACTTCAATTTTATTTATTTGTATAGATAATGAACCTATTAAATTGCCTTTTGTATCATTTACACACTTATCAAAAACCTAGACCACTTCCAGGTAATTTAAAAATTGATCTTTGTCATCAGTTTTTGGCATTAGGCATATATAAACGTAAAAATCCTTTAATTTAATGCACTGTACTTGAAATTAACTTATCAATTACTTTGTCTTCATTTAATTCAAATAAATTAAAAAAGAAATCAGTAAAGCACACTAAAATATATAAGGTATTTATTTCACTTCATATTCAACCAATAACCTATATGTATGTGAAAAGAAGGCAATTTTGATACAATGTTCAGGGTTGTCTTTTCCAATAAGAGCGTTGAGCTATGAATGGGTGGGTGCCAAGCTCCATAGCAGTTTCTTAAATTATCTTTTAAATCTATTAAAGAATGTTGTACATTCCTCTAACTATGATTGGCTATTACAGTACTAGCCAATACTGGGCTGGGACCTTCAGTCAGAATATTTAGAGATGGTTTTTCTGTTGTCTGTTAGATGCCAAGTTTTGTTATGGCTTGATTTTAATCGGTTTTCAGCACAGTGTGCTATCAAACAACTAGACTGCTAACTACTAGTAACGGAAAAAAATGTAGCAGAAAAAATTTGTTGATCAATAATATATAACATGTTTGTGTTTCAGTGCCAAGATGGCGCCCTCAACGGACAGCTTTGTCCCTCAACCACTATCACCATCTCTATTGGTTCACCATCCACACCGGCTTGTATTTATTTCAGTGGTATGTATACTGCCATTTACTACTAATATTGTTTTATTGTCTAAGAGAATTTTATGGAATCATTTAAAGAATAAATTTTTAGTCGTTTCCTTGTTTTACACATGTTAATTTATTACTAGAAAGAAAATTATAACTTGATTTTCTTAAGATTCATTACATTACATAATATAAAAAAAAAACTATTAACAATTAAATTTAACTGGTACTAAGTTTTAATAAAATATTTAGAACATGTATGCCAACCCGCTTGCCAAGTGTGGCAATTATGAGAATATCCCCCCTATAAGGCAATCTATAGAGGAAGCGTATGTTCAGCACTGGACTTTACAAGGCTGTAACAATATCGGTAACACCTTAATTTATTGTTTTGTTTGACAAACTTATGTGATACAATGAAACTGTATACTTACCTATACTATACTACTTGTTGGTTATACTGGAAAGGTAAAAATTGATGTTTTATGAACTATAAAAATTGTTTGTAAAGGCAGTCTCAGTAGCTGAATTTATAATAATAATTTCTGTTTTGAATTTAACATTTTATGCTGTTATTTTCTCTTGTTTTCCAGCTTACTAACAGCAACTCTGATTATGAATACAAGCGCATGGGATTGGTCGCTGGCTTCGGCCAACGGCCTGCTAACTAATGAAGAATGCTCTATGCTGCTCGATGTCGATCTTTTCAAATCTGATGATGGTATGTATTAAACATGGTCTGTTACGGAAATTTAAACATTAAAAATTATGTATGTAAATCTCGAATCTTAATATCATGATAAAAGTAACAATAGAATAATTTAAGAATAACTAAAGGCAATAAAAAATGAATTTGCTTATAATATTTTACGTCAATTTATGTAAAGAACACAATTAGAAAAAGGACAATGTCCAAAACCGCCCTGTGTAATAAAAGCATCGGACATACACGATAATTAATTTTCTATTTTATTATATTAGTTGCAAATACTTTTATAACACGGACTAGCTGCATGCAAAAATAAACATTAAAAAGTATTATATTCGACTAATAACATTAATCGCCGCCATCTTCGCCAAACATCATGTGGTGTCGAAAAATGATTAGGGATGCCCAATCGATTGTAATCGATTTTTGAATTTTTAATGAACTGTTGCATATTTTTTAATCTGAATTACATTTTGATTTATTTCGAATAAAGTTGCTAAAAGAAGCTACAATAAAAATATTATAATGATTTCTTATATTTACGCGAACACTACACGAGGGAGTCCCCCGTGACCACGGTTGCTGGAAAGCAACCGAAACGTCGGGAATATAAAATAAGTTAATTAAACGCGATAAAATCCGTAAAAATAGTTTTATTCAATAAAAATATTATATTACCATTTCCTTATATTCTTTTATATTATTCCCTACAAGTATAATTTTAAAAACCTACTATACCTATTGAATGTCATACTCGATTTTGAATAGGTAGTTAAAATATTGCTGAAGAAAAATATTCGTAAAGATAATTATTCAGGATTTTCTAATGATCGTTTAGACAGGAGTATATTTTACATCTTACTACACGATAACTTACGAGTTTACGACAATTAATTTAAAAAAAAACTGTTATCGTTACTGCATTAATTATAAATGTGTTTTTTTTTTTTTAAAAAGAGCAATATTGCAGACTAGATACAGATATATTGTTACAAGTATGGAAGAAGTAGAGACGTACGTGTTATTATTAGTAAAGTAGGACAGTGTTATGGTATTAATATTATCGTATGACAAAAGATGATATATAGATGGTATATATAGATGGTATACTGTTTGTAACGTACGGCTATAATAAATCTTAGGAAATATTCATAAGTCGTATCGTATTTGGCGCTTCTATTTTTGATGTCACTAAATGGTCACTTGTCAGTCTCTCATGAAAAAAATACGATCTCCAAATCGATGCAAATCGAACATACTAGAATCGATTCTCGATTAAATCAAGCATTAACAGATCTATTTTTGATCAATCGCGACATTTTCAAATATTAATAAAATATTAGGCATATATAGACACAGAACATTATCGATGATAACTTACCGTAAATACAAGTAACTGTATAGAAAAATCATTAATTTAATAAACATAACATTACGCCAGTATTTTCCAGAAGGAGTAGGTAGAGGTGTGTAAGTACTGTTATGTTATACATTCCATGTAATAGGGGATGCGCGTATTGCCAAACACCGGACACAAATCCAGACTCCGTGCTACTACTGGGAACTTCAAGATATAAAAACCCAATAATAATTTGCCCGACCCAGAACAGAACAGTTTTTCTGTCTGTCACAAGGAACAGATGTTCCAAATATGCAAAAGTATTTCTTGAATCGTTTGAAATATAGCTAGTTCTTGAATAAGTCCGATTCGAGAGGTTTCTCTATCGACATCGGACAAGGATTCTTCAGATCTATATCGATCTAGAAAATCGATTCTGTTACTATAAACAATCGATTAAACGATTTCAAATGGACATGCCTACTTTGTACCGTCATCTCTAATTCTGTCAAAGTTACATTGGTTGGCGTCGTTTGCAATTGTAATTGTCTTTGTACATAATTGTATCGGTGTTGTGGTGACTTTCGGGACTATATATTGAACATTACGACTTGGCTATTCGGCTAACGGACTCTGATTGCTTTCAAGAACGACTTACCTTGCTGTGATTTTTGGAACTGTGTACCACTCAAACGATAACCTAGCATTCATAAACGGACTCACGCATACGCAATGGAAAGTGTATTTTGTGTATCAAAATAATATCGACATCCCTGCACAGTTTTTAGACAATATTCTTATTTCCAGTTTAGAAAATGAACAATAAACATGAAATTAATCTGTGTTTTATTTCTAATTCAAACATAATAAGTTAATGTACGTGTAAAAACAACTTATACTACCAATTAGGTACAAAGTCGGTAGGGCTGGTTTCATAGTCACGCGTTTGAACAGCGCCGTCCAGACGCACACGCTTGCAAATGTACTAGATAGTAGTCTATAATATTCACGCTGTTCATGCGCGCGCTGTTGAAACTTGGTTGAAACCGTGGTTGATACGCTCGCTGTTCGACGGCATGTCTAGCGGTGTGACTGACAGCCTAAATCCTTATACATTTAGGTACTAGGTATCTTACCGTAACGTATATGCTAATGACAACATCTAAATGCTAACAGCCATTATATACATATATTTTTATTTTTACATTAATACACACAAACATTCTCTCATTTCAAAACCAATGCTCAGAAAGCAGGTTTGTTAACTACATTCTATGCATTTATACGTTGCACTTACATACACTTAGGCTTTAGAACAAAAATTGCATACCTAATTATGTAGATAGGTACTAGAAATAGATAAATGTTTTAGGACATCGTTTTTCAGTTTGTTAAAAATCACTCGGATCTATGAAAAAACGTAATATTCGTGGTTCGATTATAACCTCAAAATCTGATACTTTTTTTGAGATATATCTATTATGCAGCTAGTCCGCTATAAAAATAAGATCAAATAGGAATTTACTAATGATCAACAATAAAATACATAATTTTCCGATGCTCTTGGTTCCAGGGCGAACAATGTATGGGCGCAGAGCAATGTCCTTTGACTTGACTGCCTTGTTGGTCTAGTGGTCGTAAACGCGATTTCTCTGATTATGACGTCTCGGGATAGAATCCTGGGTCGTGACAAAATCAATTTTTTTTGAGTTCTTCTGTTAAGAAATTTTCAGCACGGAGTCAGTAAGTTGGCGGAGTTTGTGTCCTCCTGACCGAAATTCGGTCTGGAGAACATCATTATAGAAAATGAAAAAGGATAATATTTTATAAAGCAAGTCCTTAAATTTTACTAAGCTTTTTGAATATATTTCTGGATTCAGATCATTTTAGGAATGCGCCCTTAATAACTTTGTCCAAGCTGGGTTTGTTGAGTCTTGACCCTCGTAATCTGTGAAATCTAGGTGTAGCATTTCTGAATGGATGAGTCTGCTGCCAGAGCCTCGTTCAGAAATCAACAGGGTGCACAACTTGAAGGCGAGAGCCCTTTATATCCTAAATTTAAATAATGCTGATTTCATATAATTTTTTCCCTGTACTTCATGTGTTGTTGCACTGTTAATATAACTAATCCCTGACTGAGACTCTGTTCGTCTGACTGAGTGGACTGTTTACTAACGTAACATCAGCCTTTTTAGTTAATGCTCCCACATTAATTTAAGAGTCTGATGTTCGCTGGTGTTCGATGTTCGTCCGATTTATCGTAACTTATTTATATATTTTGTAATAAGATTTGTGTAAAGGAAAGAAATATCACGTTGCTAAACTGAATTACATTTTTTTTAAATTACATGTTGTGTCATACTTTTCAATACAACATTGAATAATACAAATGTTTGATCGTATTATAAAACTTATGAAATCTACTAGCGAATATCCACGACTTCGTTTGTGGTATTTGTTCACTGAAAAATATATCATTGTAGTTTGTAACTAAAGGAATATGACATTATATTTTAAACTATACGACGCCAAACTACAAAGGACGCAATGCCGCACCAGGTGCCAAGCTAAAAATGTATAACGAAATACTACTCGTGCGAATAAAGAATGGAATTGGAAATGGCGGCTCCTTTGAAGTAGGTTTTAAAATTTTCTTCTTTCATTAAATAACCTATTTAATAAAATAATCTTCATTAACATCGTTTCATAAACAAATAAAGTGTGCCCGAACACGAACATACATAACATAAAAATATATATTTTACAAATTGAGAATCCTCCGACTTTTTTTGATTTTCTACCGACTTCAAAAATGAGGAAGTACACAATTCGATTGTATGTTTTCTATGTGTGTTACCTCATAACTTTCTTCTGGGTGAACCGATTTCGATGATTCTATTTTTATTTGAAAGCTGTTGCTTCTCATGTAGTCCCATATAAATATGATCAAGGTCTGACCAATAGTTTTTGAGTTATTCTTAATAATTTATATTGAAGTCCGTTAACTTTTAAAATACGGTTGATAAGAGTCATTATTATCAATTTAATATATCATAATTTAAACAAATTATAATGATTTTTTTTTTAATAAGCGTGACAAAAGAGCACACATTTCACCTGATGGGTGGATGCTATGACTTCGAGATACCTATATTTTCCTCGATCAAGAATCGATATGTAGATATTCCTCCCGAGAACTAAGCCTAACCTTATGAAGCACAGCAGGATTAAGCTGCTTAAATCGATTTATAAATTTTATTATAAATCGTCATTTAAATAAGGAAAAGCTTATCAAGATTGTATAACATAATTACATCAAGAAAACTCACGTTCCATTGGCTAAAATGGGGAGTGGGTATATACTACGAATCACATTACTTCATATAAAGTTCACGAAGCTTGAGACACGGAAAAATTTTAGGCGTGTTTGTTTTTGCCCATTATTAAACTTTAGTAGGAAAAATAATAAATTGGGGCTTGCGATAGTGGTGCATTACATACCTATTAACATAAAGCTAAGTAGTTTTATGTAGTTTTTTTTTTAAGATAATTATAATATTTGACTTATAATGATGAAGTCATAGTGCTAAGGGCACGGAAAATTACTTCTGTACATGTCCGTGGTGTTGAAAAAGTTCATTAATTTAACCAATTGAAAATAAAGACAATTTAA